CTTCTACACGTTTCCCAAGGACGCTGAGCTGCGGCGCCTCTGGCTCAAGAATGTGTCCCGTGCCGGCGTCAGTGGGTGCTTCTCCACCTTCCAGCCCACCACGGGCCACCGTCTCTGCAGCGTCCACTTCCAGGGTGGTCGCAAAACCTACACGGTGCGCGTCCCCACCATCTTCCCGCTGCGCGGCGTCAACGAGCGCAAAGTAGCACGCAGACCCGCGGGGGCCGCAGCCGCACGCCGCAGGCAGCAGCAGCTGCAACAGCAGCAACAGCAACAACAACAACAACAACAGCAGCAGCAGCAGCAGCAGCAGCAGCAGCAGCCGCCGCAGCAGCCGTCGCCGTCCGCCTCCGCTGCCCAGACCGCCCAGCTGCAGCCGAACCTGGTGTCTGCCTCAGCGGCTGTACTCCTCACCCTTCAGGCCGCTGTAGACAGCAGCCAGGCTCCAGGATCCGTGCAGCCGGCGCCCACCACTCCCACGGGAGAAGACGTGAAGCCCATCGACCTGACGGTGCAAGTCGAGTTCGCAGCCGCAGAGGGCGCAGCCGCCGCAGCCGCTGCGTCGGAGCTAGAGGCTGCTACAGCAGGCCTGGAGGCCGCCGAGTGCCCTATGGGCCCCCAGTTGGTGGTGGTGGGGGAAGAGGGCTTCCCTGATACTGGCTCCGACCACTCGTACTCTTTGTCGTCAGGCACCACGGAGGAGGAGCTCCTGCGCAAGCTGAACGAGCAGCGGGACATCCTGGCGCTGATGGAGGTAAAGATGAAGGAGATGAAGGGCAGCATCCGTCACCTGCGTCTCACCGAGGCCAAGCTGCGCGAAGAACTCCGGGAGAAGGATCGGCTGCTGGCCATGGCTGTCATCCGCAAGAAACACGGAATGTGAACCGGTCTCTTTTCGGCCTTTGGGACTCCCGGACCCCTGCCAGCTTAGGGGGACCTCAGGCCGCGGTTGTTGAACACCCACCTAGTCCTGGGGCACTGGTTGTCAGTACTGAAGCTTAGGGCAGCTGGAATCTTTTGCTGGGGACCTGTCACCCTCTCTTGTTTCCTCCTGAAGCAAGGTCCTGAAGTCGGGGACCTCAGACTGCACTGGTGACACCAGCAATTATGACTCTGTCAACCCCCCTCCCCACCTTCACCCCCAGTTGCAGGTTCTGGTTAAGCAGGGGCTTCAGAACCACTGAACTTACCCACTTGGGATGCAGACGGAATGCCGAAGGACTATGGGTTGGGAAGACAACACCTTGAGTTTGGCCAGCAATCAGAGACAACTCTTCTGTGTAGTGATAAGAGATCAAGTAACATCATTTCTCCCACTTTTTGTGCTTTCCCTTCCCAGATGCAGCCTGTGATTTTGATGGGGACTGGCAGATCTGTGCCTCTGCTTCCTAGGACTTCCTTCCCAGGAGGTCATCTACAAGGGGATCTAGGTGACCTGTTGATGGAGATCCAGCTTGCCAGGGACTTAGGTCTATCCTGTTATGTTTGCTACTGGTTACAAATTCTATTTTCTGTACAATTAGTCAAACTAAAGTTTTCACTGTGTTTGTTTGGCAAAACGAATTAAACAGAAAGTAAGGTTTTTATTTGGGTTTCGCCATTTTATTTTTGTAAGGACTCAGCTAATGATCCCTGAAACATAGGGGGGATGGGCTTCCCCATAGATTTCTACCTTCTCTGCTTTAGGTCTCAAGGACTAGGCTGATGCTTCAGTGACCAGGTTTCTCCATAAAGGGGCCCTAAGCAGATGGACCCTAGCCTCATAATGCCTTCACAGAGTTCCTGGGCCACCTCACCTCAAAGAGTTTGCAGCTTGTACCAGATGGTCCTGGTTTGTCCATGGGTTAGCTCCCTGTGTCCTTTCAACTGGGAGAAGGAGCAACTGAGAACTAAATTGAATTGTGGCAACCCATTTCTCTGAGCGTTTTGAATTCCTCGTGAATTTTCAGTTCGAGTTGAAAATTTTGCTCACCATTTTATATCCCTTAGCATACTACAGTGTCTGGCACACATGGATATGCAGTTACTTAAATCAGTGAAGACCAGAGCTGGAACCAGCCATAGACTTTGACTTTGGTACACTTTCATTTGTGAAGGAGGTGGGTCTATAGAGGACTTTAAGAATAGGAGTTGGGATTTGTGACCGCTTGACTCATTTTCTTGGCTGTTAACATTTTTTAGATTGGATATTGTAGGGGCAAAGTGATGTTTTTATCTATAGTTCCAAGCAATTTAGTTCAAAGCCAATGGGGATAGACAAATGCCTTCAAAGCTAGCCCCATTTACTATGGGTGTTGGGGCATAAAATGGACACTTCTTGGGCTCCATAAAACATGACTACTTTCTCTGTTACTTATGGAAAAGAACCAGTCACCTGGGGCCTTCCCTGTCGTTGCAAACTGAAATGAGTTTAAAACGTCTCTCTTGTCTGCTGTTCTCCTGGCCCCTTGACACCAACTTGAGAAACAAGTTTCTGGACTGGAGGAGGTCTGGGGCATAGGTTGTGCAGGTGAACAGTTGGGGAAGGGACTGGATCTCTCCCTTCCAGGGTTGGTTCTGGCTACTCATAGGTGGCAGAAGCACAGCAGTGCCCTTCCAGGCCAGCTGGGACTGAAGCTCTTTGCAGGCAGCTATTGGGTTAGTCTCTCATGTGTCCTCACTCCCTTTCAGTAGGAGAGAGGATTTTCCCAGGCTCAAGCCATGCTCTTCAGTGAATCCTTTAGCTTCTGTTTGTTGAGGGGACTTACATTGTTTCTGCTTTGGCTCACTTAAACATTTCAGCCTCACTCCCAGGACAGGGTGAGGGCCAGACTCTGGCCAGGACTCTTACGTCTGGATGTTGTGACCACACAACCTATCTGGTGTTTTAGCTTCTGGGAAGAGGGAGGATAGCTCAGAGCAAAGGAGGTCCCAGATACACCACAAGCAGGGAAGTGCAGAGTCTCACTGGCTGAGTAATAACCTAGTCAGGCAAAGTAATACAGATATGGGATTTAATAAAAGCTTGGCCTGGTCTTACCAGCCATCCCCAGAAGGAGAGGGGGTGGGGGTCTGTGAAGATGTAAAACTCTTCTGGAAGAACAAGAGTACTGAGAGATCTCTGGCCTGGAGAAGCTTTGTAGCTATTAGCTTTACCTGTGGTTCCCCTGCAGTCTCCAACAGGCCTGACCTAGAGATAGGCTTTACTTCAAATGTTTGCGTTGCCTGGGAAACGACGAAAATGGGCGTTAAAGAAAGGGCAATGGGTGGGAGGGAGATTATGGACAATCTGGTCCCTTAAATCACAGGAAAGGTTTGGGAGAGCCATTTATTTCTCTTTTTTTCAATAAAAGTTGAGACTCTTAGTTGCCCCAACTGTTTATGAGAAATAAGAAACTTATCACAATGTTTTGTAGACACTGTAGAAATCTAGAGTAATCTTGTCTTCTGCAGAGCCCGACTTGAGCATTTGAGTCTCCAGCCCAAAGAAAGCCTCCCCTGCTTGAAACCAGCTTTGGGTCCGACTGGCACCCGGCAGGGCGCAAGAATGTTGGGACAACAGAAGTTATGGGTACCGCCCGGGCTGGCCTTAGAGCACCACCTGGAAGAGCCGAAGGGGCGGTCAGAGCACCAAAGAGGGGTGGGGGTTTGCGAGCGGAAACAGCCCAGGGGCCCAGGGAGGGGCGGCTAAGCCAGTTTGGGGCCAGGCCGAGCTCCCACGGAGGCGGGACCAACACCAAACGGCCGCGCAACCAGGGCGGAGCCGGACCAGCTGGGACCTGGCGACAACTGAGCCCTGACCCCTGCCTGGCGCCGAGCTCGGGTGTTCCAGAGGCTTCCGCTAGACCACAATTCTCAGGGGCTCGCCCCGGCAAGCTCCCTCCCCGATTTAGCCTCACCTCCCGCGCTGCAGGCCGTGTCTGGGCCTTGGCGCATAGGACGTCGGGAACTGTAGTTTTCTCCAATCAACGTATGCCAGAAAGGAGCACAAGGGGACTGCGTTTCCCAGAGTGCAGCGGGGTGGCGAGGGAAGGCAGGGGGGAAGGGACAGTCGGTCGCAGACCGCGCTGGGTTGCCGCCGCCGCTGCCGCCATCGTGCCAGCCCCTCGGGTGAGTGTCGGGGGCTAGCGCGC